TTGAATCATTCGATTCAGTTGTGCAGTGGCAATGTTTTACTGTCTTTCCCTGCAATGAGTTTTCTGTCCGTATACAAGTTTTGTGTTTGGTCTTCATTTCGGATGTGTTCGTGGCGAACTTCGTGTGGTTGGCTTGTCTGCCATATTCTAGCTAATGCCCGATGTTGCCTCATTGTGCTACCACCCTCTTGTCCTGGTACCGGTAGTACTGTAAGCTCTATCTAGCCATGTTAGTTATTATGCATAAATGTAGTTTGTTTGGGACAAGCTAGCTGGGCGATTTGTATCGATATCGTCGTACATAATAACTAGCTGGACTGAAAGGTTCAAGACAGAACATCTCATGCAAAGGAGGCGCAACAACTTGCCAAGGCAGTAGAACCATAGGTCGTCAAAACACAAAATCCAAAAGGTTTATGAAGTCGGTTGTACCAAGCTAGTATGGCCACAAAAGTGCAAAGCACTTGAACTGGTGGGGTACAATTAGTGGCTGGTAGGCTCCTCTGACGATACAATGTCATGTATCCGAGTTGGTTAATTAAAACTCCGAGTCGTCATGTTGCAGTGGAGCCGCGGGGGTATCATCTTCTATTGCACTGGCACCTGCATCGTCTTTGCCGATGTACTTCATGAATTGTTTCCAGAAATACAGCCTGGAAGGAGCGAACGAGCAATACATGTAGCAAGAGTTAAAACATGACAAGAAGTACACAGAACCAACAAGAGCCAATCGAGTCTCCACGAATGAATCGAATCGAATCTGCATTCACTTACAAGCCAAAAATGTAGATTGGATTCTTGAGAATATAGAAAACCACTGCCATGATTCCAGAGGGTCCACCACCGGCGCTCATATCGGCTTCTTCAATCGGCACGGCTTCGGTCGCCTTCCACTGTTCAATGACGGCCGTTCCCTGTTCGGCGTTCCCCGACGCCCCGGTAACATCGTCACGGGCACCACTGGTGACAAATTTCCCGGTCTTGACATCCAACACAATCAGGGTAGGGATACCTCTGATTTGCATCCGTTTGGCCAAAACATTTTTAATGTTGGCCGTGTCAGCACCGGCGACTCCTTCTGCCAGAGACAGCCACGGCATGGTTCCTAACGGGTATAAATCAATACAATAGCCACAAATAAATAAGCAGAAGTGACGGCAATGACTTGGTCCGATTTGTACGGTATATTATCTTGGTACGCACCATAATACTCTTGAAACTCTGGAATGGACTTATCCGAGGAAACGTAGACAATCTCGAGCTTGGACTTTTCGGCACATGACTTGTAGAATTCTTTCAAAATGGGAGAGAATTGGCGGCACGGAGGACACCATTTGGCTGTACAGTACATGTATGAGTACAGTATCAGAAATAAATAAACAATCACAAGTTAATGTCAGAAACAGCTCATCCACAACGAGCGACCAGGATACCGTAGAAGGTCTTCATTCATCATCGTACGAACCCGAAAAGTACAGGGCAACCAGATCCTTATCTTGCAGGGCTGTCTTTGTGGGTGTCCTGGCGCCTTTGGCATTCGTCAACAGAGTCGCTCCGAGGAGTTCTTCCATAGGCGTCTTGGGAGTATCAGCTTTCTTCTTCGTTGACATGGTGGATTGTCTGTGTGGTACAGTACGGTTCTAATCGAATCGAATCACTTCAATAGAATGCAGCTAAGTTCCAATGAGATACAGGGGCAGGATCTTTCGTTTATGCATACTAGTTTCTGGAAGGGACGGTCATACGACTGAAAATCGCCAAAATAGGCATAAAGTCGCACAGGAGCCACAAACTCGCATCAAAAGTCGTTCATAAAGGCGCATGCGAGTCGCACCAAAGTCGCGTGCGACTTTCTCACACGACTTTGAAAGTCGCGCAAGTTTACTGTAAGCATGGCGATAAAGTCGCGTCGGATCGCTGAAAGTCGTTCGGAAAGTCGTACCAAAAACGCATGCGACATTGTGAACGACTTTCAGCGATCCGACGCGACTTTGACCATAGCAAGACGAATCCGGGACTAACAGTCGCATGACCAGGCCTTCCTGACAGCCAATAATTATTCGTCTTTGGAACGGTTGCCGTTATCCAAGCGGCCGCGCGTCAAGCGTGGGGGCTAGTAAAGGCTTGGAAATTCGGCGACTTTTGAGGCAACTTCCCCTTCGGCGATAAGTAGGTACGAGATTAAAGTGGGTTTTGACTGGGAGGACCGTGCTTTATCCAGTGTTAAATGAGGTCATTTCAGATTAAACCCACTTTGTACTGTATGGATTGTCCCAAATGACGTTTTTACTTAATGCCAAACAAGGTATTGTAGGCAATTTCAGTCATACAACAAAGCACTCAAGTATGCTTTAAGCAAGTCGAATCAAGGAATATGTTTCATGTTAATGCTTGATCCCTTTCTTCTCCTTCTCTTGAGATTAGGTGTACACAACTTTCTAGGTAGCTCAACTCAATATCCCAGTGGGACACTGAAGGCATTTCAATTTGTACTGTGTTTGGTATAGTAAATCGGTGTTGTCCCAAAACGCCCGTGCAAAATGCACTTTAATTCTGTATGAATCAACGCCGGGATCTTCCTCAAGTACTGGTACCGGTACCTGGTACTATTAATAGTAGACAATATGCTGCGGTGATAATGTGCTCCTCTTTGCTCCCAGGAAGGTGCCGCCCTTGATGAATTTTTGGCGATTTGATGAATAGTGATGAAAATGAACTGTATCTGTTGACTGGTGATGAATTCTTTGTTGATTGGTGATGAAAAATGATGAAAAGTGATGAATCTGTGATGACTGGTGATGAATAGTGATGAAAATGTACTACTAATACTGTTTTACTATAGGGGGTGATGAATAGTGATGAATGGTGATGAAAATTTGAGTATGTGATGAATTTGGTTGAATGATGATGAAACAAATGGCATAGTGATGAATTGTGATGAATTGGTGATGAAAATGATGAATACTGATGAATTGGATTTCAGATTTTCATCAAAGGCAGGACCTTCCAGCTTGGTCCTTGTGTCTGACAAACTGATGACGTCGGGAAGCTTGACAGATATAATTTCTCTGTTGATGGCGGAATCCATGTAATCGCAAAGAGTGTTGTTTTCATTAAAGACACAACATGCGAAGTGAATACAAGTCCCCGACCAGCAGGGATGAGAAAGTTGCTCCTGAGGAACTCGGCAACGCTTGTGCTCAGATGAAGTCTGTTGAGCTCATCGATCATGAGTATGCACTTTGTGCCTACTCCCAACCAACCAACGACTGATTCTCTAGCAGCATACACGGACAACTTGAAAATCTCAAAAATCACGGAGGTGTCTTTTCTTGCGGCGAATGCTATCCTCACGTATAGTGCCTGAAGCGGATTCTTCTGCTCCCATTCCTCAATGGGGTGTCTGTGTTGAAGCTTATTTTGATAATGCGGTAAGCACTCGTCGCATCTTCGGTGCTACCGGTGATAGCCACAGCCAGTTCCTGTAGAGAGCGCGATTTCCCACCCCGACTAATTCGAGTTAGCGCCGTTGGGACTACTTTGGGATGATGGGGGTCCTTGCGGTCCGCATTCTCAATCGTCGATTCGAGAATCTGATCCAGCCAGCCATCTGGGGCGATAAAATCCGGCATATTCTCGTCATTGTAGTCAGGAAGCGAGACTTCTTCCAACGAAAGTGCCATTGATTGAAATCAAACTCTCGTACCAACTCCCTAGGCTTCATAAATTTAGGGTCCCCAACAAGTGCATCCTCTGCCCGCCGCTTGGGTATCACTCTTGCTTGTATTGTATAGGTTCATGTTGGTACAAGCTTTTCACCATGAAAAATCTTTTTGTCGCCTTTTCTACGAAGAAAGTGGCTCTCATCTGCTAGGGTCACGCAAATGTCTCCCGCACTTTCTTCGTCGGCAGGGTCAAATGTCCCTACTACTTCTCCTGAGCCATCTTTAACAACGATATCGGTCATGTTGTCGTCTTATTGTTGCATGGTGGTTCGTTCGCGGAGGTCATGGTGGTTGTTGTTATTGTTGTTGTTTTGTTGTTGTTGCTGCTGCTGCTACTCAGTCCGCTTCAGCCTTGGAGATCTCATCTCCTCTTGTAGCACAGCTGCATCTGTCTATCGAGGCTGCTTCTATCTTTCGAGTACTAGTACATTGGAGCTTCGCGTGTGTGGTTGTTGCCCTTTCGCCTGATGGAGATCAATGGATGGCCTTTTTTGGGCGTTTCGGTGTGAGAGGAAGGGCGAATGGAGTTTTCTGCGTGCCGGACTTCCTTAATGCTTTGTCACACGACTGAACCAAGTGCACGTTTGGATATTTAGGGGTCGAGTTAGTGGTGCATCTGCGGCTGGTCTACCTACTACAGTCTACTCGCTCTATATTTATAATATTATATTTATCCTCGCTGTAATATTTATTAAATCTCGAGGTCCCCCCTCAGTCCCGGGTATCCGTGAATGAATCTTTCGGCAGCAACAAATCTTTCGAGCAGCCCGACAACGTCGTCAATCCATTCCAACCGTTTCAATTTGACCGAGACAGCATGTAAAATGCCAATATCGATCCAATGGAGGTGGGATTCCTCGCACCTCTGCCCGTGGCTGTCCGTGGCTGTCTGTCTGGGCCAGCCCAAGCGCTGGTTATTTACGTGCAGTTTTCGAAGGATGGTTTCGAGGAGCAAAAACAATTCTCCTGAGCTGCCAAACAATTTCACCCAACCATACAAACCCTCCAATCTGACAGAGACCAACATGAACGGCGCCGATCAACCAACGGCGCCGATTCACCCTGAACGGCGCCGATTCAACCGTAACAAGAAAGAACGAAGAAGGCGGAAAGAGGGGACAAAAGCAGGTTCAACGAATGCTACTGGGAAAAAGAACAGAGGGACTGGGCTCAGGCATGCCACTCCTCCGTACACAGTTCAAGAACATGCAAGCCAAAGCCTTCCTGCAATCGTCCGCTTCTGGGCGAAGTTCTCTGGGACACAGTCGGAACGGCAGAGCTTCAGTCAGTACCTGAAGCAATACGACAACAAGACTTTGGTCCCAACCGACACATCCAAGCGCTATGCCCCACCAAAGTATCCGGAGGTTGAGAAGAAGCTGGTTGCCTACATGGATCTGCGTGCGAAGAAAGTTGGGACCGACAAATGCGGTTTGTCTTGGATCACCCTGAAAACGAAGGCACTTCAATTTGCCAAGCAGCTCGGTGTACCAGAAAAGGAGTTCAATGCTTCCGATGGATGGATTGCCAGAGTCCTTCAACGAAATGGTAGAGTTGGAATCAATCTGCACGGAGAGGCTGGCGACATGGATGATGCAGCGAAGGCGGCAATCATGAAGGAGTGGAGGAGAAGGAGTTCTATCCTCTCATTGACAAATACGATGTCCCTGCCAGTCGCATCTACAATGCCGACCAAACTGGTTTGTACTACCAGAAACTCCCCAATCGTATCTACGTTGAAAAGGACAAAGCTAAAGACTTTGCAGGGGCAAAGCAGATGAAAGACAAGACGAGAGTCACACTTATGATTTGTACGTCTGCGGATGGAAAGAAAGTTCCCCTCAGCATAGTTGGTAAGGCTGCCAAACCGAAGTGTTTCTCGCTTCGGGAGAACAACAAACCTCCCATGGCCTATACGAACCAAAGGAATGCTTGGTTTACAAAGGAAGTGACATTGTGGTGGATTCAAGATGTGCTTATTCCGCACCATGTGAAACGTTGGGGCAATGCCGATTGTATCCTCCTGCTGGATAACTGCAGTGCTCACAAGTTGGATAACTGGGATGTCCTTCCATCCTGGCTCCATGTCTTGTTCCTCCACCCAACGTGACTACACACATCAACCTGCAGATATGGGCATGATTGCTGCCCTTAAAGTATGATACAAGTTCATCATGCTTTCTACTTTGCTGGAACTCTTTGATGTTGAAGGGGGATATGAAGCTTGTGCGAAGCAGCGACTCAAAACAAAGAAAGGATGCCGTGGCTTGGCCGTTGGAGGCAAGGCTCATCTTCTTGATGCAATGGACATTTTGAATGAAATTTGGAACAAAAACGGTCGCTATGCAAAGGAAGATGGTATCAGACGATGCTGGAGAAAGGCTGGCATCCTTCCCATCGCCATGGAAACAGACATCAATGTTGACATTGGGTCTGCTTCAATCCCTATGAAAGATAAGGTGTTGAGCAAGCAGGATTCCGATGACTTGTGCAACCTCATGAGTGCTCTCCAAGTTAAAGCCAAAGAAACTGAGGTGGATGTTGCAAGGCATGCAATTGCATTGCAAGGATCCTTTGCGGCTGATTACGATCTCTACTCTGGGGACGATGTGATGCAAATGGCGGAGAATTGGATCGATGTCGAGGATGAGCCCGAAGTCATTAGTGCAACCGTCGACGAAGAGATTGAAGCGCTGGAAGTCGAAACAACAGAAGCGGAACTGGCTGTGATTGATGACGAGGAAACCGGAACAAATGGAGGATGATCCCGAACCAGCCGATGTGTTTGCCTCATTTGCGGAAGCTGAAGAAGCACTCAATAAGCTGTCCGAAAGTGCCTCTGCTTTGGGTATCAACCAGGCAGCCACTGTGCATCTTGACAGGTTTGCTAGGGCATTGAATGTGGCTAGGGCGGCTAGGGCAGGCAAACGTAAACGCGACGGCTCTATCCATTCATACTTTACTAGTGGAACCGGCCCTTGAAAGCCTTATATTTATTCTCTCTAATATATTTATCGAAATCCGCAATCCCCCCCCATAAATAATAGAGCGAGTAGACTGTAGCTAGCTAGCTACTAGCTAGCTAGCTAGGTGAAGAAATCTCTATCTGACGTCATTTCAGAGGAGCCAGAAAGGCAATTGGCAATTGGCAATTACTTATTCAGTAATTGAAACTGCGCCCACATCAGCCATCACACCCACTTCCAGTCTCCATAACATCAAAATTCAGCTATTTGCCAACCGTATTGCAGTGATGGGAATTCCAGACAAAGACGATGACTGAGGAACAGAACAACAACAAGCAGTGGCCGGGCATCGAGTCGACATCTACAGCGATAATTAGCAATGGCGGAAATACTCAAGTCTTGATCCGATCCAGAGCATCATCCTCCAAACGACGACTCGCTGTCCTCGCCTTATTCTTAAGCTCCAGCAAATGCCTGAGCTTCTCCCCCGCATCCTATCCAACTGGTTTTGGAACGCAAAACCGAGATAATGGTGTCAGACACCATGGCCGATATTCCTTCCGGCTCGAGTCCAAGAAGAAACTACCCAGACTCCCAAAGACCATAAAGATCAAGAAGCGCGATGACAAGGATAGGGATGATGGAGACTCGGTCAAGTCCAGGTGGTTGGGATGGATGAGTAGTGGCAGAAGAAGCAGAGGAGTGGCAGAGGTCAAAATGAGAGAAGCCATGGAATTGGGAGGTGTTCCACGGAGTGATCGGTATTCTTCCAGGTACTTACTTACTGTTTGTGTGTCTCTCTGTTGATGATGTGTGAAGTACTTGGAATGGTTGCAATTGGTGATTGTTCTAAATGATGGTAACTGTTTCTCATGGTTTCTTTATGATATGACTGATATGGTGAAAAAACTATCCATTTGTGAATTCAATTCAAACAACGTCACCGTCGCAGTGACTGGTTTCATAACACGCTCAATCTACCAAGTTCCGAAATTCTGCGTGCCGTTCGAGGACCGGTGATTGCCATGACATCTTGGGCTACCTTCTTGGCGATGGTGCATCGAAATTTGCTCAAACGCAATCCACATGCTGCTTCCCTCATGTGCATTTCACCAACCACTCATTCCCTCATGGTCAGTGCCTTGGGGCTGCTATTGGTGTTTCGAACCAACTCGGCATACCAACGATTTGTAGAAGGAAGAAAAATATGGGGAAATATTGTCAACGCATCCAGAGATTTGTATAGATACCTCATGATGTACGAGAAAGAGATTGGAGTCGACAAACGACGTCGTGTGCAGAGATTGTTGGCCGCATTTCCATACCTTTTACGGCATCGAGTCCGCCCCAATTTGGTCATGCATCGACTAGACGATACCCTCATTGCCCGCGACCCGCAAAACACACTTTTGCTGTATCAAGATCGGGCTCAACTCGACAACGATCCGGAGGCTGCCGCCGTAGCGAATCAGGAAGCCAATATGGGCAAATCGAGGCGCAAAACGCGGTCGCTCTATTGGGTGGATCGACGAACGTTGCCCTGGCGTTTGCTTCCACCGGGTGCTCTGGAGCAGTGTGCACGAGCACAGAATCGACCTCTGTGGGTTTGCGACCGCATGGCCCAGGAGCTACGAGAAGTGCCAGATGGTCCCACATTTACCAACCGTGAGCGTCTGACGCTAATCTCGCACGTGGACAAGCTGTCACGACTTATTGGGGACTGCGAACGTATTCATCAGACTGCAGTGGTAAGTTCCTGATGAAGAGATGCAATATGTGATCCTAAAGTGTCGTTTTGTGTAGTATTGTGCTCATCATCTCAACTTGGAATCAATCTTGATTGACTTGCTTCCTCTGTGGATTGGGTTTTGCATGTGCAGCCCCTGAACTATGCACGGCACAGCCTGAGAGCCTTGACATTGTGGCTTCTCTCTCTGCCGTTTGCTCTGTTGAAAGACTTGAACATGTTGACTGGCCCTTCCTTGTTTCTGGTTTCGTGGCTGCTTTTTGGAGTATACGAAATAGGCTACGCCATTGAAGATCCATTTCAGGGTACTCTAAGGCTTTCGATCATTTGTGACATTATCCGCCGAGATGTGCTGGGAAATGAAATGATCCGCCGCACCGCTTTTGATCTGCAGCAATACGATGACATCGATGATGACGACGACGATGAAAACGAGGGCGACGAGGACTACATTGAAAGAGATGTCAACAATGTGGACATTGGAGATGATCAGGATACAGTTTCCATACGGAGCGTTGGAGGGAATGACTCAAATGGTCAGGAACAGAGTTCAGATAGCGATGATTTTCTGGACCCAAAAGCTTTCGAGTAAGTTTACGAACAGTGCCACTTCAGAGTCTGGAAACACGACAACAAGTCTGCATCGTAGTCAAAGCATGACAAGGGATTCTTCTGAATGAAATGATTGCCTGCGAATCCGCTGACTCAAGCCGACAAAACGCTTTGGAGATCTATCTAGCTAGTGTTGTAAGGCGACAAAGTGACACCGGTTTGAAGGTCATTAGTTAGGAAGACAGAAATCCCATGCATGAGAGTAGCTTCAGTATTTGGTGGCTGCCTTTAGCCGATGCTGTCCATTGTTCGATACTAGCCAACAGTTCCGGTGCATGTACCGGTACAAAGTAGGGTCGAGTTGAGGCCGTTCGGAGTTCTCAGACGCGGTGAGTTATGGTGGTACCGTACGGTGACATGCACATGCAAATTCAACTTCCTCAGTCCTCTTTCCAGTCGTGTTTTTTCTCTCCACTCACACAACGACCCCACCATTGTTCTTATAGAAGAGTAAACTAGAGATACTTGACCAAAACCCAGTCTACTGGCTCTTATTAATCCTTAAGCTACTTGTAGCTAGTCCACCTGTGAGATCTTGCTCTTTTGTTGGCCTTTTGGCCATTTCCATGGTTCTCTGCGACCAATCCAATCTTTCCAATTTGTGGTTCTCTTTGGATCCACCTGCTCTCTTACTTAGCAGGGTTGATGTCACAATAAGACTAGGCATGCTTTGATGTCTCAAGTCTCATTATCTTACACTCCCTCTCATCTTCTCGGCTAAGTGAGAGCATTGGTCTCGGATTGGTGTGTATTGTCGTAGTGTGCTGGCATTACCAGCCCATGATTCCCTTTCGGTGTCTCTTGAGTGTTGCCACGTCGTTTGGCTTCGTGAGACAGTCAGCTTGCTGGTGGTCTGTTCCAATATGCTGGATCTCAATCTCCCCACTTGCTACCCAGGTCCTGAAGTGGTGGTATTTGACGTTGATGTGCTTGGTCCTTGGCCTCATTGCTGGTGCCTTGGCTAGTGTAAGGGCTCCACTGTTGTCCTCGAATGCAGTGCACTTCACTATTGGAGTCGTTGTTCCAATTGGGTACCCTTCTTGCTTCATCTCCTTTACTAGCTCCATCAATGGGATTGCTTTTCTCAATGCCTGACTTAGGCATATGTATTCAGACTCCGTTGAGCTCAAACATATCTCTGTTTGGAGCTGGCTCTTCCACAGGATCGGACATCCAAGATATTTGATGACGTATCCAGACCGTGACCTAGCGGTGTCCGCGTCTTCTGTTGCATCTTCTTGCTTCCAATTGCCACTGAAATCAGCGTCAGCCCATACTTCGAAGCTATCATCAGTCACTGTCATGTAGTATCCCTTGGCTCTTGTTCCTCTTAAATATCTGCCGATCCTCTTGACTGCAGCTCCATGTTCTTTCTTCGGATTTGCGGAGAATCTGGCGCACTGGTGCACGGCATAGGCTATGTCTGGCCTGGTGCATTTTTCCAGGTAATTCAGCTTTCCGATGACACTTCGGTAGTTGAAGTGACCATCAAATGGCTTCGAGTCTTCATTCCGAGTGAGTATTGTTGTGCTGCAAGCTGGATTTTCTTTCACATCTACTTCTTCTCCATCGAGTCTGAGGTCTTGTAGCACCTGTGTAATCAAGTGTGGTTGCGAAAGATGATAGGTGGTATCGTTGATTGGTTCGATGTTCACACCTAGGAAGTCATCTAATCCGCCCTCTTCTTCAGTGATGTCCAGGCCTACTTTTGCGATGTCTTCCACAATCTGGCTCAGTTCATCATTGTCTGGTCCTGCCAGGATTGAGTCGTCTGTGTAGAGTAGATAAATGGCTTGCCCTCTGTAGAAGATGCATTCATCGTGACTGCTCTGTTTGAAGCCGATTGCTTTTAGCTTCTTCACCAGATGACTGTTCCATACTCTTCCGGCTTGTCGTTGGCCGTAGATGTTCTTCTCCACTTTGAGGACATACTCCTCTTCTGCATGAATCTTGACTCCTCTTGGGATCTTCATATAGCACTCTCTTTCCACGTCAGCTTGGGGAAATGCGAGGACGTAATCGAGCTGTCGCGTGTACCACTTGTTCCTTAGGATCAACGACAGCAGCAGCCTGATAGATTCCCATGATGCGACTGGTGCATATGTCTGGTCATAGTGCTTTCCTGCTATCTGCTTGGAGCCGTCCAGGTTCAGTCTGGCTTTCCATTTGTAGATCTCTCTAGTTTTCACTCGTCTCTTCCTTCTCATTGCCCATACTGCTGGAAAAACGTCCGCTCCATCAGGCATGGTCTTTGCTTTGACTAGACGCATGATACCATTCTTTATCATGTCCGTGAATTCCTTCTCAACCGCCTTTTCAAATTGCTTCCAGTCAGGTTGGGATCGTGCTTCGTGATAGTACATAATGTCCTTGTCGGAGGATGCAGCCATTGCTTCCACTATGTCTGGATCGTGACTTGAGCAGAGAGCTTGTAGACCGAACACTTCGTGTTCGACCATGGTTTGCATCTCTTCTATCAGCCTCTTCGAGTGACGTCCCTTATTAGCTCGACCACTTCGTCGTGTTGGCGGCTGTTCCGACATCTGTGACTGCTGCGACGTTCCGTCTGCTTGTTGTTCAATCTCGGGCTCCCTCTGATCGTCGGCTCGATTGTCATTTGTCGGTGGATGATCTTGTTGGTTATCACCGCGTGCATCATCTCCCTCTGAAACTCCCTCTGCTGCTCCCTCTGGAGTTTCCAGTGCGCTGGCTTGGTCACTTCTAGGAGCTGCTGTGTCAGATGGTGCCACGAATGCTGGTTTCGATTCGGGTCGCAGTGCCTGGAGCTGTCCTCTTGGCTTTCCACTACCTTCTGCAAATCCAGCCATTACCTGCCAATTCGAAGTCGGTAGCGGTGTTTTAGCTGTTGGATGAACCGTCTCGAAGTCAGGATCGAAGTAAACGTGATACTGAGGTGACACACGTCCTGTGGTCAAGTTTAACACAAGTGCCACTGACCGGGCATGGCTTGGGGACCTGCCAAGGTATAGCCCTACTCTGCTTCTCTCCCTCCACTTGTTTTGATGCTTGCCGCTTTGAAGTGGGTCTGCCAACACGTAGATTGGACAACCGAATGGTTGCCAGTGCCGAGGATTGACCTCGATGTTGCTTTTGGAGAAGACCTGCAGAGGTGTCAACCCCCCAGCATGCTTGCCGGTAGGTGTGTTGTTGAGTGCATCTGTGCCCATTCTGACTGCATATGGCCATAAGTGGGCAGTAACAGCAGTTGGCCATCGGTGAGAGGCATGGATCAGTGCAGTGCGTGCTAGATCCTGAACTGATCGAATCTTGCGTTCCGCTTTGCCATTCTGATGATGCGCGTTAACTCCAGCAAAGGTGAGTCCTTGTCCTCGGTTTTGGCAAGAGCGACGCCATTCCTTGGCGGCAAAGATGCCATTGTCGGCATGATAATGACGGACAATGACGCCCATGGATTCTGCGTACGATTCGAACGCATCTTTAGCTTCTGCCAGTTCCTCGCTAGTTTGGCCCTTGAGGAGGTGTACATAGGTCAAGTCAGAGTAATGATCGACAAAGACGCAAACATGCTGGTACCGGAGGTTGGTCAACTTTCCGGCCATTTGCGCGATCAGTCCGGGAGTAGCAGACGTCATGATGTCCACCGAGATCAAGTCGCCAGGTGCCTCGATGTCGTAATGCGTCACGTTGATTTGCTTCTTCGCCTTGGTGCGGCGAGCTTTGCGTGTAGCCTTTCCATACAGGCATGGCCCGCATAGTGGTGTGGGACATGATGCGAGTCGACGTGGAATGATTCCCATTTTAGCCATGAGTTGAAGTCGCTTCATTGGAGTGTGTTGGAACTTGTAGTGATAATGCAATAGTTCGGCTGAATCATTCGGCTTGCGATCGTGCATGGTGTCCTCGGTGTGTCGAAAGTGACACTTGTCTTTACAGTCATCGATCCCATGCGTGGTGGGTGTACCAGTTTCCTTCGGATCATCATTTTGGCTGACCGGCTCCTGCTCGCTATGCGCCTGTTCGTTCTCCTCTTGTTGCTTGTCGTCGCAGGTAGGATGGATATCCTCGTCATGAACGTTGAGTCCAGACTCCGCGCAGAAAGCATCGAAGCTTGTGTAGCCTGTTGCTAATGTGAAGGTGAATACATTTCGTGAATCAATCGGAACTGTCTTCTTTGATCGTCCTTCGTTCCAACTCAAGATGACTTTGTCATGGAGTGTCAGACAGTGATTTCCATCGTGTTTGATGCCTGCAGCTTGTGCCCAGTGTTGAGGACTGATCAAACGGCTGTGTCCTTCTGGAGTGTAGAATGAATTGGGTATTTCCACTGAGTGTACCTTCCCTTGATCATCCTCGATGCTCCATACGAGGATTCCTTTCCAGAATGTTTGCATCTTCTTTCCATGGAAGCCTCTGACTACACTTCACTGGTATCAGTTTCCCTTTGAAATCTCCTCGAAATGGCGACATGCATGCAGTGCACCGGTTGTCCACTCCAACTTGTCCTGAATCAGTGTCAAACTTGAGCGGCTCCTTGTTGCTACCCATCTCAGTCGGAAACACTATGATGTTTCCTTCTTCGTCGAACTCGACTAAACTATCTTCATCGATTGGATCTTCAAGCATTGGTTCATAAGTTGGATCGTTGTGTGGAGGCTCCGGAATGAATGTGTGCTTGCTCTTGAACCAGAACATGTGAGCTGTTCCTCCGTAGAAAGCGTTCGAGTCACATGGAGGAGTACTCTCCTGGTACCGCTCCCACGGTGGGACCGACTTGTCGAGCTCCCTCTGAAACTTCCATAACTCCCATACTATCTTGACTTCCTTTTTCTGTATGTCGATGTCCTGTAGTGCCCGTTGAATCTCTGGTCCGAGGACTTGAACTTCTTCTTCGTACGCGAATGTTACGGGGTCACTTGGGGTGATACTAGCTGACACTTGTGTCCACGTGGCTAGCATGAATCCAAAGAACGTGCTTGCTCTGTTCTTCCTTCTTGCCCTTCTCCCGTTGATTCTTGTGCGTGACGCCTTGAGTGTGCTTGACCGACAGAGTTTTTCTCGTACGTTGCTGTAAGTTTGTGATTCGATTGCTTGGTTTGTTTTATTGATGATGAATTCGATTGCTTTTGTTGTTGTTGATGCTATGGATCGTTGTACATTGGTAGACACGTCTGTTTCTAGTATCGTTACCATTATGCACAGTAATCCAGTCAGCATCATTGACATCAGGAATGTTGGTTCAACTCCTCCGATAATTACGGCCTGTAGGAGCATTCCCATCATCACTGTTATGATACTTGGCCTGGCAAACATGCAGTTCTCCAGGCATAGCCCCTATTCATCATCCGAGTCTTTGTCCTCAATCGTAGCGTTCATGGCCGCTGTCCACTTCACTGGTTCCTTCTCTTTCTTCTCTTTAGGATTCTTGTCGCTTGCTTTCGACTCACCACTTCCGTTCTTGGTACCACGGCATTCCGACAATTTGTGAGTTACCCATCGAGGCTTGTGAGCTCCATTTCCTTCACACCAGTTCCAGACTTTTCCATCAACGGTCTTTGTCTTTGGCTCTTCATTGGATGGCTCGTTGAATACCCAGCTTGGAGGCTTACGGTACTTTCCACTTTGGGCCTTCCCGTTGTTGGAGTTCGATCCTCCATCCTTGAGCTTCTCGCATTTCTCCGTGAGTTGCTCCACCTTGGTAGTGAGCGCCATGATAGCATCATCCTTCTTGTTCTTTCCTTTGATTTGCTCTTTTTCAAGCAGATCCTTATACTTCTGGTCAGCTTTGGTCATCAGACTGTCGGTAGATAGTTCAGTTCTGTCGTTGTAACTGTTCTCAAGCTGCTCGATGAATCTGTAAAAGGGGCTATCTTCAGCTTCACTGTCCATGTAGACAGAGAACAGCTGTGGAATGAGAAACCCTGGATTCTCTCCTCGCGCACGAAGCTGTTTCTGAATGGATCGGACATTGTCATTGAATGACAAGATGTTGTTACCGTGTTCCTCCATGATCTTTGGCATCCCAGCCGTGAGCTTGGTCCACATCATTGATCGTAGACTTTGTTTCCAACGTTGATTCAGTGATGATGAGCTTGAGATAGAGTAGTCCCGAGTGTTCTCCTGTCACTGTAGTGTAGGAAGTCTCCTTCAATGCCAATGTATTCTGAGCTGCGTCGCTGATAGATGCAATCAAGCATGCGAATAGTTGAGCGTCATCTTGTTCAGCTCGTGTGAATGTCTGATCGTACGTGTGGACTTTGTTCCATACTTGATCAGCATTGATTTCGCCATAGTATCGAATGAGATTGCGAGTGACTCCCGTGGCATTGTCAATGACAATATCCATGATGGTCCATCCAGCCTGAGCTGCACGATGCTCCAATTTTCCAAGGAATCCATTGAGCTTTCCGTTTGTCAGATCAAAGCATCCTTCACTGTCACAGTACAATGATCGGCTATTCTCTCGGTAGATGTTTTGACCTTCGCGGGTGTTGTAGTTAATCACGGCTTGGCCATTAGCCCGCGCGGGAGTCCTACCAAAACCTGCAGGTGGCTGCCGTGGAACTTGGATAGGTTGCTGATTATCCTGGACTCCTTGATTGTTGTTATTCTGATTGACCATTACGAGCAAGGCTTGAATTCGAATGCCAATCGGAGGTTGCGCGATCAGTCCTTGTCCGTCCACTGGCTCGCCGTTAGCGTCGCGTTGGTAGATTTCGTCATCTTGATCCACAATGTCTTGCACATCGTTCAGCGTGAGAAGTCTTCCTTGTCGATCAAACAGTGGTAGTCCGTCATTGTTCAAAACTGTCATCTTGATGCTTCAGTTGAGTTAGATATTTCGCTATTGACTATCGGCGTTCCGTTTTTGATTTCGTCAATGCGATCTGTCTTTGTAATTGTAATATACGCAAGACAACTTGTACTTGCGCAGAGGAAGCGTGTTCTTATAGAAGAGTAAACTAGAGATACTTGACCAAAACCCAGTCTACTGGCTCTTATTAATCCTTAAGCTACTTGTAGCTAGTCCACCTGTTGCTTGCAATAGGTGAGCTTTGAAAGATTGTGAGATCTTGCTCTTTTGTTGGCCTTTTGGCCATTTCCATGGTTCTCTGCGACCAATCCAATCTTTCCAATTTGTGGTTCTCTTTGGATCCACCTGCTCTCTTACTTAGCAGGGTTGATGTCACAATAAGACTAGTGCACTACGCTAAAAGCTAGTGTAAAGATCTTTCGAGTGTTTTGAGTTTGAGAGAATGAAAGTTATGAGAGAGATTAGAAAGCTATGAAAACTAATCAACGAGAGAGCAAAGACTCACAAGGATCGAGATTGGCTTCCCGCGGGAGACTATAAGTGTGATAGAGTAGGTTTTGGAGGTAATCCTACGTCTCTCCACGATCCTAAACGGAACGCGTGAAGGGTCTACCTGGATCTAGTAGCGTGAGTACTCCACGCTGCTAAATATTAGAGCGATGTTTCACATCAACCTAGTATGACTGCCGGTCATGAGAACCCTGCTTCAATGACTATTCACGAAGACTCAGTCATGAGTCGAACTCAAACCCTATCTAGGATCGGTCGCGAATAAGGCTAAGAGCCTGTGTATTGCATTCGCCCCCTGACAAGGGTCACAGAAGGCGCGACAGCAGTCGGACAAGGAGAACATATGATTTAAAGTGCGGGGACTCTCATGAGATTTGGATGTAGACATGTGTCGTCGCACGATGGCAATCCACAGGGGATCAGCCTTGTATGGGTGTAATACCTTATGTTCCAAGTCTGGTAGACTGTGCCGCCGTTGGCGTAGCATGTGGATGCCGTACTAGTGCCATTGTCATTGACTCGGTCTATAGTGTAAGGACCTTTGTACTTTGGCTGACCATACTTGCGGTGCTGATACTGTGAATCATCACGTATCGTTGACATTGTTTGATGAGGGACACGCGTCGGCGTTTTCCCTATCGTTGTTTTTGTTGGATTAGTCGTTGGCGACGTTCCTTAATGTACTTCCAGTTGGTTCGAACCGGACGTTTGTGATCGCGTCACGATTGAAAACGAGTGTGCGGGGTTGCCGCAGGGTGGTATGAATCGTGGCATTCATTGCAAACGAACCGCCGTGAGGACTCCGCACCCAGGATCCATTCACGAGTCGTCTTGGCACTTGATGTTTTGAACAGCGATCAAGTTGCGTATGGTTTGATGAGCACGCTCGACCATGAGATGGCTGAGGGTTCGCGTAGTTGATGAACTTGCGACGAAGTCCATATTCATCCCGAGTGTCTTTCGACCTCTGCGCGGAAATCGCGTCCTCTATCCATGATACCTCAGCGGCCATGGATACCGAGTAAGCCACGTTTGTTCTAGGACGATGGCTACTTCTCTGCTCCCTGAGCAATCTGCAATCGACCATCCGTTACGGATCAATCATTGTCAAGAGCAAGTTGCAGGATCTTTTTCTAGGATCCCGACGTTTTAAGGACCTATCAGGTCAATACATGTCTTTCCCAAGGATCTCCTCGCAAGTCTTGGAGGCACAATCCCAGCTTACGCGTCTTGGGTTTGTCATTAGCACTGGCAACGCTGACAACGGCCTGCACAGTCTTGCGATCCTTTCCAGGTGTAGTGTTGCTGATGTTAGTTCTGTGCGAGTCTCGCCAGGAGCATCAGCACACCATGGACCATTCAACTAGCTTCTTCTGCATAGTTTAGGGTACGGACGTTTATCGTCCTTAACTACTAAGTCGTAGGACTTATCCCCTCTGGAAAGATTGCTTCTTGTAGTCGTTTGCTTGTCCCTGAGGAGCTCTGATATCGTTGTCGTCTTTCTGACGATGTTCGATCTCGGGGAACGAGAGAGGGAACTCTAGGGAAGTCCTCTTCGTCTGCAGCCATGAGTCAGCATCTCGCGGCCGTTCCATCTTGTTCTAAGAACCTCGTTGTTGAGATGTTAAGTCTCAACAACGCACAGCGACGATGTTCTGTTCGCCTTGATGTAGCCGAGTTCAGGGCCGTATTCTTCCAGAATAAGCGCCATCGCATTACGCGATCGGTATTGAAGTTCTTACTGTAGATTCTGTGGTCCGTATGTACAACATCTTCTGTCTAAAGATACGGAACTCTAGAGTTTCTACGATACTGAGAAGTTCCTTCCCGGACTGTGTAACGTGTCTGAAGGTTGAGGTTCCTACGAGACGCGATAGGTTTTCCCTTCTGGAAAATCACTGAACACTGCATGGAAAGAATACAGTCAGCGCATCAAGTTTAGACTCACTGAACCTCGGTCCCCCATCCTTCGTTGGGAAGTCACGGGAGATGGCCATAGACGCTAATCCACAGCGATATATATTACATCCAAACCGTCGGCATGGACGGGTCCTGAGGACCCCTCGATCCAACCCATACGCTCTTTGCGAATAAGGACTGTACATGTGCTAATCCGTCCTCGAAACCTTCGAGAACTTCATCATCTTTCAAGTGACAGATCGCGCGTTAGTTGGTAGAGTAATAACCATCAATGATGCACCGACATCTAGGCCGTGCATTAGTCCCATCTTCTCTGGAAGATGTCGGGACTATTACATAGGCCCATTGGCAACCTCTGGTACTCGTACTTTCCCCACATAATTACGGAGTAGTTGGGCGGTCGGAGGAGTACAGCTCATGTGATAGATCCCATGTTCAGGCTAGACTAGTGGCGATTGAATCCATCTAGATTCAAGATCATGTCCTGTATTTTGGATAGATAAGGCTCCGCTTAATCTGTTCAGTTCCCGAAATCAGAGATGAATCGTACAGATCCATCTTTCTTGGAAGATAAAAGTTGGTGCCGCCACTCGGAACGGTTTACCTTGAGTACCCCTCGCAGAGAGTACCAACCTCCACTAAGAGTGTTATGGACCCGTGAATAGGATAAGCCGGCAATATAGGCATCAGGAGAATTCTACTTCGTACCGCCACGCCATCTCCTAAAAACCATCGAAATAGGTCAGAGTACTTCGTCAGTAAGTAAAAGCTGTTCCTTCTCTTCGTGTTTAACTGATCTTGATTTGGCAACCTGCCTTAAATCAGCTTGTTCGTATTTCGCATCAAGATCTTCTTGAACGATCTTGCACTGTCATCAACAGCTGTAGATCAGGAATGAAGAATTTTTCTTCTTCATTGGTGTCGTGTCTTTCATAGGAATAGACGCGCCGTCCCATTCCACTGACATGTAGTGAAATCGAACTTAAATCCTAAAAGAGAGAATGTCTCGACCTATATGATCATGTCTACGCCCCCAAGCTCTTGGTGACGTGTAAATCCACTCGATAGATTCTATCTCGTGGAATTCGGGAATCATGAATGCACCTTTGCACTTCGTGCTGGTGTTTCATTATCCTCTTACAGAAGCATCGTATGTTTGGACGCCCCAATATTCTTCATGAGTAAACTTCTGCATGAGTTTGAGAATTAAGGTTCCGGATGCTCCTGTATCCAGTAAGCAACAGATGTAACGGGTTTGGTTTCCCTTTTTCTCGTTGTTAAATCTAACATAGACGATGGGTTTGAGGTCTCTTGTTCTTGCGACGTTTACGAGGTGGTTGGCCACAGACGAGGTTAACGATGCTAAATAGATCATCAGAGTCTAGTTGAGCAGCTTCTAGGCAATCATCTAATTGCCGTAGAGTTCATCAGTTGGAAACATTCTTGTTTACATTTAGTGGTTATCTTCATCACTTTGGTATGAGAAATCGGAACATGGTTCCGTTGAGTCATCATCCTGGCCTAATCCTCAGATAGAGATTTCTCCATCCAAGTGATTGAAATTGATAAGAGGATTTGTCCATCATTGTCAGAGTTTCTTCTGAATTTGCGCTTGGCAACAATTGGTTCGCGAAGTTTGAGAAGTGGTTGTCACGGAGTATCTGTCGATCTCGTTTTCTTCTCATTGTCGAACGAGATGGAAAAATTGGTTTGTACACGCAACTCGTTTCTCGAAGTTGCGGAACCAGCTTCCTTGAGCCCTCTTGGCTGAAGGAAATGATTGAGGGAGCTGAAGCTATTGTGTTTGTACAAAATGCACTACGCTAAAAGCTAGTGTAAGATCTTTCGAGTGTTAGAGTTGAGAGATTGAAAGTTAGAGAGAGCATAGAAAGCTATAAAACTAATCAACGAGATAGACATCAATACAAGGGATCTGAGATCGTGGCTTCCCGCGGAGACTATAAAGTGATAGAGTAGGGGGGGTTTGGAGTAATTTCCCACGTCTCGTCTCTCACCGACCTACGGAACGCGTGGCAGTTTGTCTAGCCTGGATCTAGTAGCGTGAAAGTACTCCACGCGGGCTAAATATCTACGCCGATGGTTCATCCATCAACCTAGTATGACTAGCGCGGGTCAATGAACCTGTCCAAATGACATTCACGAGAGACTCAGTCATGAGTCGAACTCAAACCCTATCAGGATCGGTCGCAATAAGGCTAAGAGCCGTGTATTGCACTAGGCATGCTTTGATGTCTCAAGTCTCATTATCTTACAACCACCAAAACAAGCCCAACAAAAGCACCTGAAACTCCACCGCAACAGCGCTACTCGCCAAACCAAGCCATGAGCAACTCACCCACACGCGTTACCTCCAGCGAGGACTCCCGCGAACGCGTCCTTTACGGTCTCATGGCGTTCCAAAGATGGGCCAAGAGTCAAAATCGGAACACACCGTCCGCGTTGGTCGAAGGGTTGGGAGAGTACGGATTGGAAATGAGCATTTCCAATCTAGATCTTGGAAATTCCTTTCATCTTGTCCGGTGGGTCCGCGGGGACAGCAGCCAGGCGGTTCAAATGTTTGATTTTCGAGTCAATGAACCCGATACCATTCGTGTCCGATATGTCAAGAGGACCGATAATGATCGCCATACATTCAACATTCGAACGGGAAAAGTGCATTCGATAAAGGGGAATTGGATGTCAGGTGACAGGGAGTCGCAATCTGTCATGGAAACTCCCCGTGTTGCCAGTGCCTACGAGTTGCTTCTGGAACAATGGATTTCTCCGCGGAATTGGTGTCGGGAAGGGCGTTTCGTGATTATTCGGCCCAAGGACCTCCCAACCAATGATGACGATGTCGTGCCCAAAGTGCGGGGTGTGACGTTGTGCAAGAGCGCTGTTGGATTGCTTCGAAACGGCTACACCCTACTTCTGGTCAAGGGTGATTTGATCCAAATCCCTCTGCCCAAAGAGAGAAGGAAGGCCAGCCCCAGCATTCCACCGAAGCGCCCCAGCCTGGACGTCGTGGGCAGACACCACAACGACCCGATGATCTTGGCTTCATCATCCCCGAGCGGGCCCACAGAAGGACACAATTCACTGGGATACTTGCGGACTATGCTGACTCGACCAAGCCCGGTCAACAGTTTGTGGGTGGCATGTATGACTGGAGCCATCACGACCTGTATAGGTATGTGCCTGGTGCATGGCAGGTAGGTCGGAGTGTGGGCTGATCTACTTGTAGGAACATTTATGATTATTTTGACAGCCTGCTTTGAGACTAGCCTGTTATCATTTGGAGGTACCTGGTACCTTTCCCGTCCAATGACTTAGCTTATACTGGTATACAGCTGCACTACGCTAAAAGCTAGTGTAAAGATCTTTCGAGTGTTTTGAGTTTGAGAGAATGAAAGTTATGAGAGAGATTAGAAGCTATGAAACTAATCAACGAGGAGACATCTCAAGGGATCGTAGATTGGCTTTCCCGCGGGAGACTATAAGTGTGATAGAGTAGGTTGCGGTAGTAATCCTACGTCTTCCACGATCCTAAAACGGAACGCGTGGAGAGATTTGTCTAGCCTGGATCTATTAGCGTGGAAGTACTCTCCGGCTGATAAATATCTAGAGCGATGTTTCACATCAACCTAGTATCTAGCGCGGTCATTGAGAACCTGTCTCAAATGACTATTTCACGAGAGACTCAGTCATGAGTCGAACTCAAACCCTATCTAGGATCGAGTCGCGAATAAGGCTAAAAGAGCCGTGTATTGCACAGCAGTTGGCAGAAAAAGTCCCAGAATCAGAGGAGACGAAAGGTTGCTTAGCAACACAAAGAGGAGGTATCTACCGTATCATTTGGTCTTCCTCTTTTTCTGATTCGAAGCTATTGGGCCCATTTGACGGATCGGTGTCAACCAACAAGACTGGAATGGCTAAAACCATTGCAACTTCCATAAGAGCCACTAGTAAAATGGATGCTGGAGTTGTTGAAGGCTCATGTTGGATTTGTGGCTGGGGCTGCCACTTTTGTCGATTAACTCATTGATCCTACTCACTTTCAATGGTATCATCCTCCCTAATGTGCCCATTCGATTACTAGCTAGTCATGATTGGGGAATTAGCAGAAGGTACCAGGATCAATACTACTAAGTATACACGCACAGTCCAAAACGAAGGTGAAGCAGAACTTTCCCATTTTCTTCCGCGCCCCGCGCCCCGCGCCCGCCCATGGAAAACTATTTAAGGTTAGAGCTGAACTGGTTTCGTTGCAACGAGTGTCTCCACACAGGAACGCCGAAGAAGCATCAGCATCTCAAACCAAGAACAGCGTTTGATGATCATGGCCACAATGGCTGAGGATGGCAAGCAAACCAACAGGCCTGCAACCATCCAGTTGTCCCCCTTCAGTCTCTCCTCAATCAAAGTCTCGGCATGACGGTCATCTTGTAGGCGCGTCGCCTCGCAAACGACCAGGCGATCAGCTTCTCCGTGATGGAGATACAAGTAAAGCATTGGACGGCGTTGACACCAAGGAATTGACACCGACGAGAAGCGTACTCGATATCCATTGCAACTCGATACTGCCGTCATCGTCGTCCAACGAATTCAAGCGCCAACGATTAGAATCTCCGGAAGAACAAGGCAGTTGGTCGAAAAGTGATCCTCGGCGAATTAGTCTGGAGCCAGATGATATCCAAGATAATCCACCAAAACTTGCTGCCAATGGATCCTTGCCTCCTGACAGCGGGGAAAATGCTGGAGATTACGACGACGATAGCTCTGTGGAAATATTGTTGACAATACAACCCCCAACGCCCAAGAAAATGCTGCCCAAGAAAATGCCAGAGATTGCCACTGATAACGGAACCAATGCTGAGAACAAGACAATTCAGTTCAATACTGCGGATGAAGTAGTAGTATCCAACGAAGGACCACCAATGTCGTTATCGGATGCTGCAATGAAGCGACAAAGTCCAGATATCACCACTCAAGGAAATGAAGATAAAAGAGATGATCAACTTCACAATCCACACAGCACTGTTCCAATGAATGCTAACAATGACACTCCCATGTTGCAAAGCCCCAAGTCAGCATCGAAGAGCCCTTTTGAAGAGGAAGATAGACTCAGTGAATCAGAGGAGACACCAGTGCAGCTGTGTGCCACAGATGAAGACAGAAAGATGCCAGCCAGACCAACTCCGGGGCCTGACGGCCTGGATATCGGTTCAATGCAATCTACTTCTACTGCCAACAGGGAACAGAATCAACAATATTCATTCCTCACATCAGCCTATGTGCAAAATCTCGCTGAGATATGCCACACCATCTTGGAAGACAGGCGATGGCGAGTGGGAATGAGCAGCAAGCCACTGTTTGCCTGGGAATACGGCGATGACTTGAGTGCCGTCATTCCACTGGCCCGTCGCTTTCGCCCAGTCTATTCACGGGAAACACAAAAGCCTGTGTGCCAGGGATTACCTTGGTGTCCAAATAATGAGCAGGTGAATAGTGCTGCTAGCCTCTTCAATTCGTCAACTCCATCCGACTCGCCAGACGCTCAGAAACCAGCTGCCACAGCCGCTTCCCCCGCTCCGCTTCCAAGTCATCCAGAGAATAGCGATTCTTCTTCTTCGGAGGGTGCAACTGATCCGCCGGAAGATGGCGAAATGAAAGAGAGCGAGATGGACACTACCACCATTGAGAAATCGAGCAACAATGCTCGTGACGATGATATCGACGAAGCGGAACACAGGTGCATACACCTTTACTGTCGTCTCTATTATCGAAAGGGGCCCTGGTACCGTGTGGACGACCTCTACTCGCGGTATTATGCGCCAAAACAACCGGGGGGCGACCAAGGCGTCGCTGGGCAGCGTCGCAGTACAGTCTTTGATGAAGGGCTCTTTCAGAAGCACTGTGAGGCTTTGAACGTGTGCTTGGGAGATGTAACGAGGCTCAAAGAGATGGGCTTGATTCGCCAGTTTCTGTCCGAGAAGGAATGCGGACAAACCGTTGGGACATCATGCGGGCCATTGACGACCGAAGAGAGGAGCGCCCTCCTCGGAAAACTCGGCGGCGGCAAGAAGAAGGCGACAAAGAAAGGACTTCCCAATGCCACGACGGACCGAGGTGGCAAGACCTCCTCGTCAGCTTCAAGAGAGAACGAAATCTGGAGACAAATGCGCCTTCAGAAGTCCCTTTCCGCACACTTTAGACCATCGAACTCAGCAGAAAAAGGCTCGCTTCTGCCAGTGTTGCGACACGTGAATCATCTCCTGGTGGAAAAGCTTGCGGCTCGCGTTGCTCAGGCGTGCGGCTCCTCTCGGAAAGACCACAGGACCCGTGTCAAAAAGACGATTGCAGGATTTCTCGCCGACTGCCCGACAAACCCTTTTCTCAACGAACCTCAGATGAATGCTTTGTTTGGGAAGTTCGGAATGTGCGTGCGATTACGAGAGGCCCCTCTTCGTTCGCTTCAACGATGTTCAAGGCTCTATATGTGTGCTGGAGGTGGGCCTGGGCAAATGCGTAGTGATGGTGGCACCAATGGCTGGAAGAGCATTTTGGAAGTGGACCTCACGCGTGTAAAGGCAAACACCAAACTGAAAGATGCGAAATACGCAATGAATGTGGAACCTCCAGGGAGTCATTCGTGGCACAATGTGAGGTATCCGGGACTTCAGCACCGGTTTGGTTTGACATCGTGTAGTTTTGTAGAGGCTTACCGGCCATTGCCCCAAGGCGAAGTTCAACTCGGCAAGAATGATCAATCGGAGTTGGCACCAGAACAAGTGTTTGTGTCTAGACAAGCGTTTGCAAGCTGGGAAGTCTGCGTGGAACTGAGAGCTCATGCTGATTACCTTATCGAGGTCAACGAACTTTTGCTGTACAACGAAAGGAAGCGTGCTAGAGAAGAGGTGGCAAACGGAATAATGGACCAAGACAAGTCATCTGATGAGGATCAGGATCGTGATGGAAAGATCCCTGCGACAGGGTCAACATTGGATTTCCTCAATTTACTGTCTGTAGATGGAAGGAAAGCACTGGTGACGGCGTTTATGGATTCCGATTCTCGTCAGCTGATGCAATCCACATCATACCCTGAAATTGCGAAGGTCGAACAAGAGCTTGAAGGAGACGTTCAAAACCTTTTCGAGGTAGCTCCAGGTGCCACTTCTCATCCAATGAAGACAGAATGCGAGGAAGTGTTGTGCATCATGGCTGCGCTTATCAAGCACATTCTCAAGTGGAGAATTGGCAGTATCCCTCTTTCTCATTTGCGAGCTACCGTCTCGAGGCCTTGGTTGCGCCACATGAGCTATGAAGCGTGCCTGTCATATGTACTTTGGGATTGTATACCGATTTTGGAACGCCGAGGCTTTTATGCATTTGCTTTTCAATCCCTCGAGTTGCTTCGTTCCGGCAGATGCGTTCCAGAATGTCCAGCGCTAGCCCAGGGGGGAGTGCTGGGGCAGCTGAAAGTTATGGCAAGCACCAAAGGGGAACGGTTGAAGGAAGCTTTTGCTCGGTTTCTGCTTTCGAGACGAGCTCGCGGGAAAGCGATGGACCGCTTGGTAGTAGATGGAAGCCATATCCTACGCAGGGAGCTGAAAGCAATAGACGCCGCCGAAGCGGGAAAGAAGAAGGGGAAGAAAAAGAAAGGTTCGAGCGGGAATCCTGTGGCGGACACTGTTGCCAGTTTCAGCCGAGAAGCCCTCCTCGGCGTCTTGGCGACCGCTTCCATTTCTTTCGCCTCAGTTCGAACGCTTGCAAGGCGCATCAGGCAACCGCTATTAAAGACGATTGAATCGCTGGAACCCAGCCAGGAGGCTCAAGAGTTGGGCCTTCGCCTGGGGTGCCCCAAGTTAGGGCGGTTCGTTGAAAACGCAAAAAAGTACAGCGATTGGGTTCCGCAAACAGACCACGCTGTGGCCAATTCAGTAGCCATCGAGGAAAGCATGGTCGGTCGGCGTTGCAGCTTTGTTGGCCACGAAGACGACGAAAAACGCAGCACTCCTTCTTCACTCAATGTTGAACAATTAGCAATGGAGTTTTACGCAAGCGGGCGTTTGCCAAAAGCGCAGAGTGATGGAGAGGTGAAGGGGGGATGGAAGGGCTGGCACGACGAAGGGGGGATGGTTCGCGCACTTTTTCGTGTCCTTTCACACCATGTTCTCGAGATGGACTGGGCATGTCGACATGCAATTGAGGGCGACAGTTCGGCGTCGGAGTTGAGCACCATTCATCTCTCGCCATACCAAGGGGCCCCCTTTGATCTACATGTTGGCTATGAGCTTTCGGACGATCCTTTCCACGGGGTCGAGAGTGCTTTTAGTGTCAATCGTGGTTTCTACCTTCGCAGGCGGGAAAAGATCGATGGCTTTCTGAAAGCTTTGGAGGCAATGTCACGGCAAGAAGTCAGTGATCTCGTCTGGCATTCCATCTCGGCACGTCATCGCTACATGTCTGCAAGGTTTCAAAAAGACCCGTCCATTGAAAAGGATGTACTTCAATGCCGGACGTTGTCGATGGTGGCAGCAGCTTTGGCGGGAAAAATGCACATCCCCAATGTTCTCCGTGTCCTAAATCTTTGACTACTCGACAACCCACACCCCCCGCGGCGGCTTGCCGGATTCTGCCCTCGTCCGAGCACCAGCAGCAACACAATAGCAAGCATCAAAGTCCTTGAGTGCCTAGGAGACACGGAGTCTGAAGTGAGCTTTTTATGCTCACTAACTGGCACGAGCTAGGAGGCAGGATCAACTTTACCAAGCCTTACTGGGTACAAAGGGATGATGACTTTCTCTGGTTGAGCAACAAAGTGGAGATTCCTGGCAAACCTCCCGGCGGGATGATCCAACATTCGGCCCCCAAGGTCTGGACAACCAAAACAAAGAAGAGATTCAGCAGCCAACGGGACCAATACTAACCTCCCTACACTCCCGGCCAGACTCCTGTTGGTACACAGTGGCGCTGATGTCAACGTCGAATGCATGTTTTGCGAAGTGAAGAGTTTAAATGACCGCCTTGACGCGAGACAGGTACGTGATGGTATACTTGCCTGGAGTTTGATTTGGTCAAGCTTTCTCACACTTGCTTGGCTTGGGATTGGCTGCACTGTTGATTGTGCTTGTTCAGGAGGATTGGTTAAATATCCTGGACCTCTCAACTAGGCAATAGGCGTCGTGTTTGCAAGTTCGGCGACGAGAGAAAAGCAAGGCGAAAAGAAGAAGAAAGAGACTGATGCGGCTACCGATCGAACCAAGCTTGACTCACAATAGCTCTCACAATCACGAGGCGGAACCTGCAGCAACTTCCTGTAGTAGTTGGTTTGAGCTAGCTTACGTGACATAGATATGTGCTACACGTAGCTGTTAAGCTCTTGCCATCAACCTTATGATGTAACATGCTTACCTAGCTAGCATAGGCTTGTCTTGCCAATCATGCGGGAAAAATAAATCGCCATGCATACGGTTTGAGGTTCGCCCGTGAAGTTTTCTACCGAA